CACGCATCCCCGTCGTCTTTTTTAAAGATACATTGGATGATGTCTTCGAATTTTCTCGATTCGCATTTGTTTAGGAAATATAACCTATTTTTCAATTTTTGCCAATTTTGACAAATGGTTGAAGCTCCGTTAATATTTGAGTAACGAATACAGGTTTAAGACATTATATGAGCACTTTTTATCAGTGAATTTATTATTGTAGACAGATTTTTTTACCTCTTATAGGATAAGATATATGACCCAAGTTGTGTTTTTTGCAATGAAAACCATAGTTGGCTTTGACTATAAAAAATATATTTTTTTTCTGATTTTTATGATATATATATAATACTTATATATGTTACGGCTAATGTACAAACTTGGATAGTTTATAAACTAGCTGGATAGTTTATAAACTAGCCAAACTGTCAGCTATTTTAATTGAAAATGTATTTTCAACTAAATTAGCGGCTAGTTTACAAAATAACAAAGGATCTTGGCTAATTTACTTGAAATTATTAGGGAAACTAAAATAGCTGGATAGTTTATATACTATCCAATTCAATTTGGCTAATATGAAAACCAAAATTTCTAGTAACACAAAATAGCCAAGCTTTAGCTAGTTTGTAAACTAACCAACTAATTCTCTGGCTATTGCCCATTTTAGTTGGGTTTTTTGTTCAACTGGGCGGGGGGGCCCAATGGGGCGGGGTCGGATGGGTTGTGTTGTTGAGTTTGGGTTGGTTTGGGTTTTTTTTTCTCATTTTTGACCATTTGACCAATGGCGCAGGGGGGGCAATGGGGCGGGGTCGGTAGGGTTGTGTTGTTGAGTTTTCTAACAAGGAAGCGTTAAAAATTTGCCTATGATTCATTTTAAAAACGTTAAAATGCACAAAACAAATCCGGTTAAGCCGGCAAAACGAAAAACAATGCCGTAACCTCACTTTTTTAATAAATTAGCCAGAGAATTGGTTGGTTAGTTTACAAACTAATTAATTTAATGATCTGCTGCTAAAATTCTTGTTTTTGCGATGCTGTTAGATGTTAACTTGCTCTATTTTTTGTTTAACTTGTTGTTTTTGCTTTCGGTAAGGTTCAAATTACTTTTCAGTATTCAAATTATTGTTATTGCGTTGTGTTAACCTGTTCTGTTTGTTTATTATTGTTTTTGTGTTGCGTTAACTTGTTTTGTTTGTGTTTTAGTTTGTGTCGTACTATTTGCATTTATTAAAATGCGGTGTGGCATATTTGGATGCAATTCAGACAACCAGTCCAAGAAAAACCCTTTAAATAAAAACATTAAATTTAATCGATTCCCGAAAAACTTTGATTTGTGGAAACAGTGGTTAAATGCCACAAAAAGAATAGACAATATTAACGTTAAGACCGCTTCCGTTTCCTATAAACATTTTTTGGACAGTGGCTATAAGTTTAATTTAAAACACCAACGCTTAAACTACAGGACTCAAGGACTAAAAGCATATATTATCCATATTATAACACTTTCTTCAAAATTAAGTTTTATAAAAACGCACCATGTCCAGATATTTCTCTTATGTTCTTTGATAATATTACTATTATTCGTGTATTCGCACGGCAACTACTCATCAAGTGACGTCATGCGCGGCATGAACCAAAACTCGTACACGGGAGCATCCAGCCCTGGCGCGGCGCGGTCTGGCCTGCCCCACCACTCTTACGTCACTCCACCACTCCCACGTCTCATAATGCATTTGTCTTTATTTATTAAACGGCCTAAGAGCACATTACCATCCCTGTATATAATTATATATTTATACAGTGCGGACGTTAAAAGTCCCCCCCTATTATCTTTTGAACGAAAAAAGGTATCGACATCGGACAAAAACCATTGTCAAGGACATTAAGAATACTACTTTTTGACTTCAAATTGATAGGTGCCCATTTAAGGAGCGCCAAGAGGGCAGTATCAACTTAAAAATTTCAAAGGGAAAGGGGGGCTTGTGATACCTCATTTGAAAGGTATTTCGATTCTCTATTCGATGCTATTTAAATTTTTAAAATCCGTTTAACGGTTGCTGAGATATTAAACGTTTAAATAAAATTCCCAGATAGCACAAAGAAGTACTAAAAACGTCCTGAGTATATCTTGTATCAGACATTAGTAAGTTCCGAGTACGTCCGAATCAGGTCCTGAACCTTCCCCAGGACGTTCCAGGGACATCCGATGTTACCAAATCGTCGGTCCCCAGAACGTCCTAAGAAAGACATCCTCTGGCCATCCTGAAATGCTTTATTGGGGACTAATGGACAAGCTTTACAGAATTGAAGAGTGGTATTCCCAAAGGCCCAGACAGCAATATGACGTCTTAATTAAGACTTATTTTAAATGGATTTTATTAAAATCATTTTAATAATTTGTTCGTATTCGCTTATTTTAGGAATTGCGATTACTTCGTCTCACTTTTGTTTAAATTTAAAGCGTGCTCTTCACCGGCACCGATAGACGGCCTGTTACCCTCTTTTGGAGCTCGTCAGTATCGGGTAGCCGTTTACCTAGGTCCAAGACCGTTTGGTACATAGAAAAACCATATGGTTTGGTATGAAGCACGTTCTAAATTCTACTTCGCCCCTTCTTATATCAAACACAAGCAGTTACAGCGGTGAGAAGAAAGAATCGCATTAAAATGTCATAAATGTGACGTCTCCATGATGACGTCTTAAAAAGTTAATAATATGTACAAAAAAACTCATACAGCTATATTGTGGCTGTGTGAATAAAACTTTAAAGTTTTCAATGTCAAGCTGACATCGAGCTTTGTCACATCCATTATGACTTTTTTAACATTTTTAACCAAACAATGCATAAGAACTCTGGCAAGCCATTGAAGCCATTTGGAACGAGATAAAGCAAGACGGCGACTTCCATGCTTTGCCGTTTGCGGGCAGTAATTGACAAGAACAGAGGGATGACGAAATATTAATTTTTTTTTCAAACTTCAACCTAACTTTGTATTTAATTTTAGACCTTTCAAATGTGACGTATCATGTTAAAAGCCATAATTACTCCAATGAAATGATGAAAATCAGGAACACTAGATTTTTAAGCTGTATGAGTTTTTTTGTTAGCGATAGTACGTCCTTGGGACGTACCCAGTATATCCGCTATAATTTTCCCAAATAAGTAAGAGACTGGACGTACCCAAAACTTCCGATATAGGTCTAGGACGTTCGGACCTATGTGGGACCCGAAATGGACGTCCTGGGTACCTCTTGTGCTATCTGGGTTAAGTCTCAAATCAAATTTTATTATTAAGTACAAGGTTTTCATTCATCAAGTACAATAAATCATCAAATTAGATGTTCGAAATGCTCCCCTTGGACATTTTGACACAATAATAGTCTGTTTCTAATTTCAGTTCTCACATTTGTAAACGTTTCTTGGGTAATATTCGCACATTCATGTCTAATTCGTTGTTTTAGGTCATCAATTGATTCTGGTTCGGTTATGTAGACCTTTGATTTTAAATAACCCCACAAAAAAATCAAGTGGCGTTAAATCAGGAGACCGAGTAGGACCGGTAGGACCGGTAGGACCACGCCTACCAATCCACCTATTTGGATAAGTCTCATCAAGCCACAGTCTAACATCCCTAAAATAATGTGCGGGCGCTCCATCTTGTTGGAATATTACTTCAATGTCAAATTCGTCAGGATTAGCTTGAACTATATCTTGAATCATTGGATGAATTTGTGTTTGAAGCATGTTTAAGTACAAGATGCCTGTTAAATTTCCTCCCAAAAAGATGGGTCCTTCAATATGGTTTCCCAGTTGTCCCGCCCATACATTGACTTTTTGTGGATACTGGGTATGCCCTTCACGAAAAGCATGTGGGTTAACATCTGACCAGTAACGTACATTTTGCCGATTTACATTGCCATTTAGGAAAAAAGTACTTTCATCACTAAAACAAATTGATTGCAAGTACAGGGGATTTTGTATTATGCGCTCAAACATAACTTCACAAAACTGTACTCTGCGATCCGGGTCATCTTCAGTAAGTTGATGTAATATTTTTAATTTATAGGGATGAAATTTGTTTTTTTTAAATATTTTTTAATAGTTGATATTGCTACATCACAATCCCCTGCAATTGCCGCCGTCGATTATTGTGGATTATTGACGACGGAACCGACTATTTCTATTTGTTTGTCTTCTGAGATTGATTTCTGCCTACTCAAACTTCCAGTTGTTTGAAATTTAGTCACTAACTCCCGTAGATATTTTCTGCAAATAGGGTTGTCTGGGTACCTTTCATTAAATACCCTCTCTGCTTGGTGCAAATTACGTCCAACTTCAGCATAAATAAAAATTGCTTCTGTTTTTTCTTCCAACGGGCGAGCGCGAACCATTTTCCAATGAAATAATAAGTAAAATTGCAGGCACAACTGATAAATAGTATTACACTAAAGAGTAGAATTATTTTATAAACCGCCTTATAACTACAATGGTACGTTTTTTTTTTACAAAACAAAAACAAAAAAGTGTAAAAAAAAATAAATGTTGATACAGATTTGCGATAATTTGCACCGCCAGGGCCGGATTTACCGAACATGCAACGTATGTAGCTGCCTAGGGCGGCAAGAAAATGTATTAGTTTGAAAAACTGAAATGCTCAATTACTTAGCAACTGTTAAACGGATTTTAAAAATTTAAATAGCATCGAATAGAGAATCGAAATACCTTTCAAATAAGGTATCACAAGCCCCCCCTTTCCCTTTGAAATTTTTAAGTTGATACTGCCCTCTTGGCGCTCCTTAAATGGGCACCTATCAATTTGACTTCAACTACAACAAAAAAACTAATTTTAAAATTCAACAGAAGAAGAAGTCTAACCTATTTCAATTTTAAGTAAATCTCAATTTAAAAGAGAAAAAACCATAGAATAATAAACAAACACTTATTTAACCCAATCAGTAGAGCGAGGTAAATATACACACCTATAAACAAGGTATAAAAGCATAATGCCCAAGAAGTAAAAATGATGACCAGGTGTATATGTGAAAAAACCCTGGGCAAAATCAAAGTTAAACTACAGTGCCACTGCTGTAAAAAGTGGGCGCATCAAGAGTACACGGGCGTTCTATCCAACTGGACATGTGCCGAGTGTGAGGAGGAAGCATCATCCACCGAAGATGATGCAGACTCTAAAAATGAAGCCGTTGACAGTTCAGGAAGTGAACCGAAGGCAGTCACAAAAATCAAAAATAAGCGTTCAACATCACAGAAAAAATTTACATTAAACGATGTAATGATAAAGCTGGAAAAAATTTAAAGCAAGCACGTTGAACTCCTAAACAAATTCCAAGAAATACTAGAAGAAAATACAAAGCTCAAAGACGAAATTAACAACCTAAAAAATAAGCATAAACAACTTAAAAAGCAAACAACAAACAGTATCACTGAATCAAACAGGATAAACTAAGTAAAAACGTAATAATACAGGGTCTGGAGAAAGTAATCACTACAGAAGAATATAAAAAACTAATAGTAAAGATTGGTGATGGAATTAACACAAATATAGCAGAAAATGACATAGAACAGGTACAGGAACATTGGCAAAGATGTAAGTAAATTGGATGCTAAAAGTGCAATTTAATACAATTGAGGCTGTTGACTGTTGGCTTATAAAACAAATCGAGGTCTAAAGCTTAATTTTCATGTATCCGTTTGTCCGTCATCCGTATGTCAGTTTTTCAATAAAATCGTCCGATAAGAAATGTTCTAATTTTCATGCATACGTTTTTTAATGACGTTTAACGGATTGATTTTGCGACAAATAGAAATTAAGTGTCAGTATATTCACTTACTAAATTGACCTAATGCTTAATTGTCATAGTTACAATTATGTCAACTTAACTTTAACAGTTCGCTGTCTAATAAATTTAAAGGTAGGTAAATATACCTTATAAAAAGAATATACTAGCCCTAATTTACATTAAAATGTATAGTTTTAAAAAAGCAGGTCCTTTTAGTTCTAGTTTTAATTTTTTTTGTTTGTCGTTTCTTTTTTTTCGTTATTCTTATTAAATAAAAACTTAACAGTAAAACATTATTCACATTCACGAACGTAATATTTTCGTTTTACAATCTTATTGAAAAAATATAAAAATATTTGAAAATAAATTATCTTAAAATAACGTTAGGCGTCAAAAACAGATGTTTAGTGACGGATGAGTTAAAATTATTTAACCTTTCTCTGTCAGACGTACGAAGTTGAAACTTAACGGACCGATAAAATGTCATAATTTTCGAATTATAATTGGACCAATAAGAGCGCTCCCGGATGAACGGACTGACGGACAAACGGATACATGAAAATTAAGCTTAACACGCTAGCAAATAGGACAAAGTGGAACAGAGACAATCTACATAAATCACGACATGACACAAGAAAACTAAATACTATTTAAAAAAGCTAGAGATCTAAAGAAAGAGTTAAAATTCAAATACGCATGGTTCAATCATAACAAGGTAATGATGCGCAAAGATGAGGAGACCAAAATACTCGAAATCGATAGTGAAGACTTCCTTATAAAAATCAAGAAACTCCCACAGGAAAACTAAAACTAAAACTTACATACTTGATCATACGTAGCCTAAAATCTAAACTAAACGAAATTGAAATACTAACAGCTCAAACCAGCCCAGACATCATAGTTCTCACAGATACATGGCTGACACAACAAGAAACTATCTATTACAGCCTAAAAAACTACAACAGCATCCACTCATGTAAAACTACAAAAGGAGGCGGGGTTTCTATCTACATAAACCCACTAATACGCTACCAAACAAACAACAGCATAAACCATAAAAATGAAAACAATATCCCACACATAAGATTAACCGAACTCAATCAATCAACATCTGTGCGATCTACAGAAAACCAACAAGTCATATCGATGACTTCTATGAGTTACTAGAGACCAGGGGCACCGGGAGGCCTGCTGTGTGTGTTTAGAGCTCAACACACTCTATGTGTATTTTTTTCCGGATCTTTAAATTTCACTCAACCCAACCCATATATATATATATATATATATATATATCCTTAAGGGGGAAGCCATAAGTGACGTCCATGAAAGGACGCCATAAGTGTAGTGGGATATATATATATATATATATATATATATATATATATATATATATATATATATATATATATATATATATATATATATATATATATATATATATATGTATATATATAAGAGATCCTAGACTCTAGATGAAACAATCGAAAATCGTTCTAAGTAACCTATAGGTTTGGTATACCAAAACGTCAACCTAAGAGATGTCGCAACCGTTAATACATACACACTTTACATGATTTTCGACCCCCCGCCCCTTTAAATGCATAAATAAGAAAATAGCCCTCCATTTCTCATCAAAAAAATCAAAAATTGAACCCCCCACCCCTTAGCCCGCTTACGTAATGCTTAAATGCCCCCCAAACTATGACCTACTCAACACAAGCTTTCAAAACGTTCCGCGCTAGAGACCAATATACTAAAAAACAAAGGCACTATTCTTATAGGAGATTTCAACATCGACCTTCTCAACAAAAAAAGATAAACCACTAAGGAATACATAAACCTAATGAAGTCCCATTCATTCACCATCAAAAACAAAATTACACAAGAAAACCATACGAGATATAACCCTCATGGCCCAGATTCAATAATTGACCATGTACTTAACAAACATGGAAAAACAAATAAACCTAAACATAACAGACACTCCCGTAAGTGATCACAAATAAATTAACTTTGATATAAAACACACACACCAAGCAAAACCATACAAAGAAAAATACGTGAACACAAAGATAAACTATAACCAGCTTAAAATCAACACAGAACAATACCTGTTAACCAAACAAATAACAATGTTTAAGGAACTGCAAGATCTTATAAAAGTAGAAGCAGAGAAATGTACAAAAACCACAACAAATTACTACACAATATCAAATAAACAAGGATGGTTGACAAAATACCTCTACAAAACCATAAAATTACGTGACAGAGCCTACAAAAAAATGGTAAAAGGTAGAGAGTGTAACTTACTGAAAAATAATTTCAAAAACCTAAATAATAGAGTCAAAAACATGGTAAAATATGAAAAAAGAAAGTTTTACAAAGGCAAAATAGAAGCTGCTGATGGAGATGGCAAAAAATATGAAAAAATTATAAAAGAAGCAAAACATACTGAGAACAGGAACAAGAAAAAGGAACAAAAACAAATGACCCTAAAGAAATTGCAAACAGCTTAAATAACTTTTTTGCAACAATAGACCTATCCCATAAAATAGACTTTTGGATAGCGCGTGCCTGAAGAAGAGTGGTATCTCTTTCTCTTTTATAATTAAAAAAAGGACGAGGTGCCTTTTCACGCACGCGCTATCCAAAAGTCCGTTTTATGGAATAGGTCTATTGGGAAAAAACTTGCGTCACAAATAAGTGAAGATAATCTAGCTTATGAAAATGAAACAGAACAAAAACCCTTAGCGTCCATGTTCCTAGACCCACTAACCTTAAAGAAATAGAAACCATAATAAAAAACATGAAAAGCAACACATCCCCTGGTAATGACAATATTAAATCACTTCTCCTAAAAAACCTAGTAAGTTAAATATCATCAAAAACGGCAGTTTCCCCAGAAGAACTCAAAATAGCAAGAATCACACCCATCTGGAAAAGTGGAAATAAACAAGACCCAACAAACTATAGGCCAATAGCAAACTAACTGCAATAAACAAACTATTTGAAAAAGTTATACACAGACCCTCCGACCATATAGAAAACACAAATTTCTTTACACAATCCCAACATGGCTTTAGAAAACAAAAAGGGACAACAACAGCCATGATCATCTTACTGGACTATATTCAGGCACAACTAGATAAAAGAAAATGTGTTACTGGACTTATTTTCGCCTACAAAAGGGCTTTTTATACTGTGGACTTGAACACTCTGCACAGAAAACTGGAGGGAGCTGGTATAGTAAAAAATGCGCTATCCCTGCTTACATCATATACTAAGGGTAGAAAAATGTACACAACGGCAGTAAAGATACAAATCAATGTCCAAGGAGTATATTAAGGATCAATACTAGGCCCATTTCTATATTAACGACTTATACAAACTAAACTTAAATGGAAAGCACATGATTTATGCAGACGACTTTGCAATTTTATATATAAACGACAAAGACGAAACTATTAAACAAAATATGGAACAAGACTTAAAAATTACAGAAATGGACAAACAACCTTTTAACACTCAATGAAAGTAAGTGCTACATAATGCATATAAAAAAAGGACAAATACACACAACATCACACTAAGGCTAAATAGCAATATCTTAAAAGAAGTGCAGCAAATAAAATACCTAGGACTAATAATAGATAATAGACGTCTCACCTGGAAGGACTACATACAGAAACTAACCACCCCGTTAGCCTCGTACATATGCTTAGCACACAAATTAAACAATATATTACCTAACAACAAAAAAGCACAGCTTAGCACGCATACATAAAGTCAAGTGACTCATAACCTTTTGGGCAACAGCTGTTGCAAGACTTGTCGCCTAGGCGACAAGTCTTGCTTAGGCTACCTGCAGAGGGCGCAAACTAAAGTAATAAATGCTCTGTACAAACTGAAACAAGACACGCCAACAGAAAAAGTTGATCAAACCACAAAAAACCACAAAACTACTAAATATAGAGGAATTGAGGCAGGCTAAAAATAATGCATCAATCTAGTGATTTGATCCCAAAAAAGAACAGTAAAATTCAGTCACAACACGAGAGGAAAAGATAGATGCAGGTTGCCCAAATCAGAAAGAAAAATGGGACAGAAAAGACTGGCATCAGAGGGAGCAAGACTTTACCACAACCTACCTGAAGGCATAAAACACACCACGGGAAACACATTCAAAAAGTTAATAGTCCAACATATTCTAAGCAAAAGAAGAGACGATTTGTGATACAACTGTGATAGTAGTTATTAGCTATACAAAACAAATTATATTATATTTACAAATATATTTATACATATCTATACCTGTTATAACCCACAATGGGTTCTTTAGGTTTTTCTGAATCAATAAAAAAAACAAAAAAATCAAAGTTCAGGATGCAGGATCAAGTCATCCGATTAATTTAAAGAATGACACCTGTTACTGATGTCAACATGATGGAATGTTATATTCTGGAAAACAAGAAGCAGCAGATACGTATTTTGAGAGATACCCTGAAAAGCGTCAACT